CCGAGCAGCCCAAGGCAACAAAGGCCAGGAAAGACGGCAGCGGCGACACAGAGATGGAGAGCAAGGCGTGGGACTGGCCCAGCTCCGAGAGCTTTGTGAGTGACCCCCAGCCCAGCCCCACTTGGGGGGCAAAGGCCCGCCCGGCCCCCGCTTACCACACCAGGCTAGGCGCCGGCACCACCGCTGCCTCCATTTTCTCTGGGGGGGGGAGGAGCCGGCCGGCTCAGATTGGGCAAGCCAGTCATCTTCGCTTGGCACGGCTCCTCACTGAGCAATGCCACTTGTGTGCCTCAGCGCGGGGCCCCCCGGGGCCTGTGGACCGGCCACCAATCCCACTCCACCCGCGGATCTCTGTTGGGGATGGTGGTGTGGGTAGCCCCCGGCCAGCGTCGGGAGGGCAGGGAAGAGGATCCCGGCCAGACTGTCACTCCACCAAACCTGGGGCTTCAGCCCCAGGTAAACTCCCTGCTTCTGGGAGGCACATACCATCTCTGTGGCCTTCAGTTCGTAAAAACCCCAGACTGATTTCTGGTTGGGAGAGGGTTGACCGGGGTGCCCCCGAGCCCGCTTGAACCTGCTGGAGAGCTGACAGCCTGAGGGCACCGAGCCGGCTCATGCCGGGAGGATTCAAAGAGAAACTGTGTGCTGTGGGATCCTCCGCCAGGGTGCTCGCACCGTGGCATGGGAGATAACTCAACCACACAGGGGGCCGCAATACCAGGGGGAAAGTGGGAGGCCCAGAGAGGACCTTGACCAGGGCCGCAGGAAGGCCTACAGTATCCGTGGCAGAGGCCTGAGACCCCTTCAGGGCCGGGCAGGGCTGAGAGATGAGGATTGCAGAAGACATGCCCCAGCCCTGTACTGAACGCACAGAGAGGGGAGGGATCCAGCAAAGGAGGAGGAGTCTCAGAAAAAAAGACGCACCCTCCGGGAGGCCCCATCGTGTGCACACAGAGAGGGGAAACGCCTGGATTGCGAGGCGGAGACTTGCAGATCTCACACACCCTTTCGGGCCGGCAGGACAGGATCTAGCTGCCAGGGCCAGAACTCAAGGAACAGGGAGAACTCCCAGAGATGACCAGAGAGGAAACTTCTCGGTAAAGCCCAAGTCCCGAGGCAAACACACATATAGAACACTAAGGGCCATCTGAGCAGTCACAGAGTAGGCAAACCAAATTGACAAACACAGCCATACCTTAGTTAGCCAGAGGGTCAAACCTGTGCACAGTGAAACTCCCTGCCAAAATGAGTAAACATCCAAAAAAAGATACCAGAAATGCAAAAAACCAAGAAAATACACCACCAAAAGTTAATAAAGCTCAAACTCTAGATCCTATAGAACAAGAAGCCCTTGAAATGAATGACAAGGAATTTCGAGTGATAATCCTAAAGAAACTGAATGAGATACAAGAAAACTCAGCTAGACAGCATGAAGAAATAAAGAAAAATATACAAAACCTGAGAGAGGAAGTGTACAAGGAAATCAATGTCCTAAAAAAAAATGTAGCAGAACTTACAGAACTGAAGAAGTTATTCAGTGAAATAAAAAACACAATAGAGAGTTTAACCAGCAGGCTAA